GAACACAAAAAGCACCAGCATTAGAAATTGATTATTGGACTTTATTAAAAAAATTTTTTAAATCTTCCCTTTGAAAGGTGCTGTAGAGAAAATGAAATGACAAGCCACTAGCTGGGAGAAATGTCTGATAAAGAAACTATGTCTAGACTATATAAAGAACTTTAGCAACTGAATGGTGAAAAGACAAAACAATGAACCAAATTAAAAAATAGGCAAAAGGTTTAAAAACACATTTCATAAAAGAAGTTACATGAATGACCAAAAGCCCACAAAAAACACTCAATATCATTAGTCATCAGGAAAATATGAATTAAAACCACAATGAGAAGCCATTACACACTAGATAGGAATGGCAAAAATAAAAAACAAAACAGAACAGAGCACCAACTGTTGGACAGGATGTGGAGAAACCAAAACCCTCACAGATTGCTAGCCGAAATACAAAATGATACAACCACTTTGGAGAACATTTTGACCATTTTTTAAAAAGTTAAACATTTACTTACCATATGATTTGACATATCCCTAGGTATTTACCCAAGAGTGATGGAATCATATATCCAGAAACAGACACAGGTAATGAATGTTGATATCAGTTTCATTCATAATGACCAATAATTAAGAACCATTCAAATGTTCATCAACAGGTAAGAGAATTTTTTTTTACAAAGATAGTGTATCCAACACTATTCAGGAATACTACTCAAGAACACTACTCAGGAACAAACATCTGATCTTTAAAATAAAATAGATGAACCTCAAAGGCATTATGCTCAGTTAAAGAAGCCTTACCTATCTGTAACAGGACATACTCTACGGCTGCATATTTATGAAATTCTAGAAACCAAAGAACTCTCTTATATTAATAGTTACCAAAAGCAGATAAGTAGTTGCTTGGGGGAAAGGGGGAGGTTGGACTGCAAAGGACGTTGATGTAGTCACACAGGAAGTCACATGTTGCCAGAACTCTAACTAAAATGTGTGCACTAAAAATGTTGTATTTATTATATGTATATTATACTTCAATAATGTTTATTTCAAAAGCATCAAATAAAATATGCATATATACATGTGTACAATATAATTACTAAAAAAGGAAGGTCACTGTTTTACATGGCAGTTATTCGTGTTACACTTATTAATCTTCTCAGTTCTCCCATCCCATCAGTAGTAGTAATAGTCACAAGTTCTAACTTTCTGTATTTTTGTTCCAAATAACTAGTTGTCCTCAATTCACCAATTAAATAGAAGTATCTAAAACACCCATACTCCATGAGTGATGTAGAATTGAAGGGCCATTGCCAGCCAAAAGGTCGGCGGTTTCATAATTAATATCTGAGGGTCTCATGGTACGAAATTTTAAATTACAATGGAATCTATCAATGATTTCCTCAAATAAGTTTCAAAGTCTTGATAACAGAAATACACATCATACACATGCAATATTCTTAGGGAGGATACTATTATAGATATTCACTTGAAAAATTTACAATGACCTTCGCAATGGAAGAACCTGGGGGAAATATAAAATATCTTTAAACTTCTCATAGACTTCTGTTTTTATCTAGAATGTATATACAATATGGTCTGAATGATTTATGGAATTATGATTTTTTTATCTTATAGACCACACCTTAGCTGCCACCCCAAATAGGCCTGCCTTAACTTAGAGTTTCCCAGAATCAGGATAAAGGAGTGGATTGAAGGATAGATGAATCCAATAGTCTGACAAAGCATGTGGACCAGTTTGACCTGATACGTCTTTGCAATCCATGATATGAGCAACGACATAAAGAAAGTAGCATAGAGTAGGAGAAACAAGATCACAGTTTTCAAGGCATTTATGTGGGCCCTGGTCCTGGGGTCTCTGTGTCCTTTGAAAGAGAACTGCAACTTCTGGAGATGCTTCCACAGGGAAAAAATTAACAGGACAAAAGTGATAAAGGCCACAGTAAATGGTATTACAGTGAACATGGTCATAGTGAACATGACCAGCCCTGAAAATGTTTCAAAGTCACTCATTTTGCCATTCCAAGTTGTGTTTCTTTCAAATCCAGCTACCCAGTCCTTAATATGTGTGTTCATTTGTATCAGATTTAAAATCAAGAAAATTAAGCTTCCTAGCAGTATCATCAGGATCACTTCTTTTATTCTCCACTGCAGATAGAGAAAAGTGGGGCTGGAGAAGCCGGCTATTTTGAGCAAATAAAAGATGCCGAGGATTGTAGCAAGCCAGAGACTGAAGTGATTGGCAACTACCCAGGTAAAAATAAGCAGTCTTAATTCTGTTCCAGCCACATATAAGGCTGGATGATACAGAGTTGCAAACCAATTTACTAATATTACCCA